TTTAATAGTGACAGAACCGTAAAAACATCTAGAAGTATACTTGTCTAGAAATGCATGTTTCATATACAAAAAAAAAAAAGCAACTTTGCTAAGGAACATGTATGAGGCATCATATTCCTGGATGGGAAACCTGAATAGGGCAAATGTGTTAAATATTCAGAAATTTATATACATGTCAAATACAATTCCAGTGGCATTTTAAATGAGAATGACCAAATAAAATAAAATAAAACAAAAATAAAAAAGCATCACTAAAGTTTTAGTTCAGAACTCTGCCAGATGCTGGACTGAGCTTTACATAATTTACCTCGGTTAACTCTCATTGTAACCCTGTGAAGTCATTATTAATATTCTTGAAGGACAGGATGGAACAGAGGTCAAATGTAGATGACAGGACTTTTTTTTTTTATTAAGTATCAGAGATTGAACTCAGGGGCACTCAACCACTGAGGCACATCCCCAGATCGCTTTCATATTTTATTTAGAGACAGGGTCTCACTGAGTTGCTTAGTCCCTTGCCATTGCTGAGGCTGACTTTGAACTGGAGATCCTCCTGCCTCAGCCTTCCAAGCTAATGGGATTACAGGCGGGCACCACCATGCCTGGCTAGATCACATGACTTTTACCAAGTTGCTTACAATTGTGAGAGGTGATTCCTTACCCATAAAATGGAAATAATAGTAGCTATCACAGAAGTTTATGGCCAGGATTAAATGAACCAATAAACAAACTATTTAGAACAGTGCTTGGCAAGTATAAGTACTTAATTGATAGGAACTATTATTTTTCTCATTTATAGATGTGAAACTAAAGCTTAAAGAGGATAATGTAATTTGCCCAAATTCACACGGCTGGCGAACAGCTGAACTGCCCTGGAGGAAGAGGGTAGGAAGGATTACAAGATCTACAAAATAATAAAATCATAATAGTTAATATAAGAAGCACATCTTAGAATAAGACATTTATTTATGCCTTGCAAAATTACATTCTGCAATATTATCAATTGCCTCCACCAGCCTAATATTTCCTTTACCTCCCTCCTTTCCCCCATTCTAATAGCTCAGCCATTCCAAGCTCAGTGCCTCAGAGAGGATGTGTGAAAATAAAAATAGGTAAAATAGCCTCTTCACTTAGGAATAGGAGAGACTCCTGGCCTAGACCTAAAGTAAAGTAAGGGAGAAAATGATCACAAGAAAGTTCAAGACCATCCCCAACTTCTCATCCAAGAAGGGTTCCCTAGGACAAAGACAAGAGACACTGAGAGACACTGATGTTGGTGGGTCCTGAAGACCAAGGTCTTGATCCCTCTTCCTGGGCTGAGCCCCAAAATGAAGGTAGCATACCTTATAGCTCTGTGGGTTTGAGAGCAGAGAAAAACTGTGTCTTGCTTCCGAGGTATAAAGAGAAAGGCTGCTGGTTGTATCTGAGCCAAGAGGAACCCAGGCAAATTCAGTAGTCAGCATGAAGAGGGAGAAAGACTAATTCCTACCATGGCCTGCAGGTACCAATAACCAAGACCAAATAAGATAAGGACAAAGGCCCCTAAGGGTCTAGAATCCTCCACTCCATTCTAACTGGCTTCAAAATGGAAATTACAAAGGAAACTCAGAACCAACTGGGATTAAGTGTCAGTGACATTTTAAAAATGAGGACTCAAAATACAGATGAAAGTTTTACAAATAAACATGTTTCTATACACTTGAGTTTAGGGAATCTGAAACTGGTATTCTAAAGGATATTTTAAGGATAGTATTGGGGAAATGAACTATTTTTAAAAATCAAGCTAGAAGAGATGCTTAGGCTGTGGATGCAGGAAACTACCCCCTGGTTGAGTTCAGCTCAGGTTATTCATCCCTACCCTGACATTAAATGTGACTACTCCTTAAGACAACTACATCCTTATTTGCCTTGGGCAGTCACCATCTGCCCCTATTGTTTTGGTTTAATTATTAGTGTGCTCCTTTCATTCTCTAAAGGACCCAAGAGGAGTCACATTGAAGTTGAAGGTCAGGTGCTGGGTGGAGTTAAGAGGACAGTGGTGGGGTCAGAGTGGGATGTTAGAATTTAACATTTCAGAAATAGAGCAACTCAGGGTAACAGCACAGCCCAGCTTACGACCATTAGAACACACTGGAGAAGACGAGGCCTAATTCCTGCCTTAAACAAGAATTGAGAAAAGACACAGAAGGGAGCTTATCTCTACCCTCGCTCCTTTTGAATTTTCTATCTTGTGTCTTTATTGTTTATTTTAAAAACCCAAACAAACATCAATCTATAAATAAGCTGGGCATGGTGGCACTAACCTTTATTCCCTGATATTTAGAAGGCAGAGGCAAGAGGAACATCAAGTTCAAGGCCAGCCTGGGCAACTTAGTGAGACTTTGTATCAAAATGAAACAAAAAGGACTGGGGATGTAGCTACTGATATGGCTCAGTGGTGATAGAATGCTTGCCTAGAATGCAGGAGGCCCTGGGCTTCTGTCTCTGAGCCACAAAAAGAAAATTTATAAACAAAACTAAAATTTAGAGGAAACCAGGCCACTTTGCCCATAGATTCCGCTAGATAAAATATGGAAACATTTTATGAATTTAAAAAAAACCAGTAATTGTAAATCAAACAGCCCTTAAATATTTGAAAAGAAAAAAAAAAGAGCAAATTAGAACCATGATAAAATACCACTATTCATCTTTCAAATTAGCAAATCAAGAAGTTTCACAACAGCAAGTGTAGAGGGCAATGGGCTCTCATATATACACTTGCCAGGGAGACTATAAATAGGCACAGCCTCAACATGACCACTTAGGCAGTATATACAGAACTTCAAAATGCACATACTTTTTGGTAACCTCAATTCTTCATCTAGAAAGTTATCTTAGAGACACACTCTCATCTGTGGACAAAGATAGATAAATGGTTTGGTGCAATTACTTACCTCTCTGTGTACATGTTTGTGGGTTGTCATGGAAATCACATGATAAGTACATGGAAAGGATTTTAACTAGGGCCTAGGACATTATTAGCATGGAGTAAATTCTGACTATTATTATTATAGCATGGTTGGTGACAACAAAACATTGGAAAAAACTTGAATACCCATCAATAGAGAATTGATCTAAAAAAATTTTTTTCTGTACTTTGGAAAACCATGAAGCATTTAGATAGAATGAGGATAGTACTATGACATGGTCTTTTAGAAATATTGGTAAGAGAGCCAATAGGAGTCTCACTGGCTAGAGACTAATGTACAGAGCAGAGAGAGTGAGGAGGTGGCAGCGGCTCCAGCTTTCACAGCCATTGTAGTACATTGAGTTCCATGGAGATAGCGCTGGAGCAAGTGAGAGCCAGATGGGCACTGGGCGACTGTGCCTCACTGAGGAAAAGCAACTAAACATGGGCAAAGGAGATCCTAAGAAGCTGAGAGGCAAAATGTCATCATATGTGTTCTTGGTGCAAACTTGCCAGGAGGAACACAAGAAGAAGCATCCAGATTCTTCGTCAACTTCTCAGAGTTTTTTAAGAAGTGCTCAGAGAGGTGGAAGACCATGTTTGCTAAAGAGATGGGAAAATATGAAGACATGGCAAAGGTGGAAAAGGTTCGTTATGAAAAAGAAATGAAAATCTATATTCCTTCTAAAGGGGAAACAAAAAAGAAGTTCAAGGATCCCAATGCACCAAAGAGGCCTCCGACGGCCTTCTTCTTGTTCTGTTCTGGTTATTGCCCCAAAATCAAAGGAGAATATCCTGGCCTATCCATTGGTGATATTGGAAGAGATGTGGAGTAACACTGCTGCAGATGACAAGCAGCCTTATGAAAAGAAAGCTGCTAAGCTGAAGGAAAAATATGAAAGAATACTGCTGCCTACTGAGCTAAAGGCAAACCTGATACAGCAAAAAAGAGAGTTGTCGGGCTGGGGTTGTGGCTCAGTGGTAGAGAGTGTGCCCAGCGTGAGGCACTGGGTTTGATTCTCAGCACCACATAAAAATAAAGCTCCACCAACAACTAATAAAATATTTTAAGAAAAAGGAGTTGTCAAGAATGAAAAAAGCAACAAAAAGAAGGAAGAGAAAGGAGATAACAAAGATGAAGAGGATGAAGAAGAGGAAGAAGAAGATGATGAAGAAAATAATGATGATACATAAGTTGGTTCTAGCACAGTTTTTTTTCTTTACTATAAAGTATTTAGCCCCCCTTTTAAAAACTCACTCCCTTTAAGAAAAAAAAAATTGGAATGTAAGGCTAAGATTTGTTTTTCAACTATACAGTGTCTTTTTTTGGTATAGTTAACACACTACCGAATATGTCTTTAGATAGCCTTGTCCTGATGGTATTTTCAATAGCCACTAACCTTGCCTGGTGCACTGTGGGGGTTATAAGTTGGCATGGGAATTTAAAGCAGGTTCTTGTTGGTGCACAGCACAAATTATTTATATATGGGGATGGTAGTTTTTCATCTTCAATTGTCTCTGATACAGCATATACAAAATAATTGTTGTGGGGCTGGGGATGTGGCTCAAGCGGTAGCGCGCTCGCCTGGCATGCGTGCGGCCCGGGTTCGATCCTCAGCACCACATACAAATAAAGATGTTGTGTCCACCGAAAACTAAAAAATAAATATTAAAATAATAATAATAATAATAATTGTTGTTCTGTTAACTGAATACCACTCTGTAATTGCAAAAAAAAAAAAAAGTTGCAGCTGTTTTGTTGACATTCTGAATGATTCTAATTAAATACAATTTTTATTAGTAAAAAAAAAAGAAATATTGATAAGAAGAGCTAGGCTGTAGCTCAGTGGTAGAGGGCTTGCCTAGCATGCACAAGACACTAGGTTCAATTCCCAGTATTGAAAAAAAATAAGGTTAGAATTTCTTTTTTAAAAAATGAAGAAGAAGAATAGTAGAAAGAGGAAGAGGAAGGAGGAAGAGGAAGAGAACGAGGAGAAAGAAGAAGGAAAGAAAACGGAAATATTGGTAAGTGGTAGGGCATGGTGGTACACACCTGTAATCTCAGTTCTCAGTTACTCAGGAGGCTGAGGCAAGGGGATCACAGAGTTGAGGTCAACCTGGGCAACTTAGTGAGACCCTGTTTCAAAAAAAAAAAAAAAAAAAAGGCCAGGGGTTTAGCTTAGCAGTGGAGCACTTGCTTAGGATATGTGAGTCCCTGGGTTCATTTTCCATGGAGAAAGGAAGAGAGGGAAGGAAATAAAAGAGAAAAAGAAAATTTAAAATACTGTAAGTGGAAGAATCAAGGTGTACAAGAGTGTTTATGGCCACCATTTGTATGTGGGTTGCTTATGAGTACATGGTCTCTCCAGGGAAGAAGTCATAGAAACTGGTTCCAGTGATGCTTCCTGGGAGAGGAACTGGGAGGCAGGGCCTCACAGGTCATTCACTGTATGATCTCTTGTGCCTTTTACATTTTCTACTATATGTGTATTTCCTAATCAAAAACAACTAAGTAAATTCACTTCCGATTATATGTAGCAAGAGAACTAAAAAGCCAGAACTCAAAGAGCTACTCATAAGGCAATATGCACAACAGTGTTTTGCACAATAGCTAAAATAGCAAAAAAGGTAGAAACAATCTAAATGTTCATCAGAATGGATAAGCAAAATGTGATACATATGTATAATGGAATGTTATTCAGTTTTAAAAAGTAATGAAATGTTGATGAACCTTGAGGACATTATGCTATATGAGGTAAGCAAAAGGACAAATATTGTATAATTTACTTATACGAATCTAGTCAGATTCACAGAGACAGAAAGTAGGGGCTAGAGAAGCAGGGAGTAGGAGTTAATGTTTAGTGGGTGCAGAGTTTCAGTTGGGGATGATGAGAAAGTTTTGGAGGTGGATGGTGACAATGGTTGTTTGTGAATGTACTTAATGCCAATGAATTGCACACTTAAAAATGGTTAGACTAGTATGTTTTGTGTTGTGTTTATTTTACCACAAAAAGAACAATAAAACATACCTTTATTACTTTGATTGGGTTATGTTAAATGTAGAGATAAATTACAAGATGTATTATGAGTCCTGGTGAAGAATGGTCCTATACACAAAAGGAATGTTGGTCTCATTTTCTATGCCAAACAGATCTGCTTGACTCTGCTGGATGACTTTTGGGGATCTGTGATATTAAACCAGGGAAGGATAGCAGCTTTCCCAAGTCAGGGGAAAGAAGGGAAAGGAAAAGATGACTGTTGCAGGTAGAAATGGAGAAATTTCCACCTGGCCACATAGGCTTTCTCCTTGAGGAGGGAGATAAGCAGATGGGGAATTCTAAGTTTGGTTTTTGAGGGGAAAAACAGGGGTAAGAGCAGGAACTCATAAAATAATCACCACATTTCACCAAGGATCCTGGTGAGGCTTAAGACTAAAAATATGTAGAGAAATTTTTCCTGTATCTTTTACCTCTTTGCATCTCCAGGCAACAACCCTGAAAGAGTTGGAGAACCCTGTAGCTAAATGAGTGAAGAAGAGTGGAAACCAGGGACTCCTCACCCTCCTTCGCCCTCAGGCTTCCCTTTTGCAGCACCCAAGGATGGGCAGAAGAGGCCTCATCAGGATGGAAACTTGAAAGGAGTAGACATTATAATTCTTGAAATGAAACTAAGATTAAGGATGACCAGAACAATCATGTGATCAGAATAATCATTCAGGGACAGAGCAAGATCAGGAGTCTCAGAATAAATTTAAAAGAGTAGTGAGAGGCAAAAATCAAGTTGCTTTCTAATCTTACCCCATGAATCATGATCATCCAATGGAACAGATGCATAATATTATCTTGATTGTTGATTAATATGCATATAACTTGTCTTTCCCACTAGACTATAAGCTCTCCAAAGAGGCCCATGTGCTCTTTTTTTAATTATTTTTTTAAAATTTGTTCTAATTAGTTTACATGACAACCCATGTGCATTTTTTAAAAATTTTTTGAGTTGTAGACACAATACCTTTAATTACTTATTTATTTTTATGTGGTGCTAAGGATCAAACCCACTGCCTCACATGTACTAGGCAAGCGCTCTGCCACTGAGCCACAACCCCAGCCCAGCCCATATGCTCTTTATCCCCATATCTTTTGCTAGTCTCCCAAAGCCTAGGAAAGTGCCTTGCACAAACCCAGGAGACACTGATAGGCTGTGGACTAAACTGCTGATCAAGAGGGATTACTCTACCTTAGGCAGCACCATGACATTGCTAAGCTTACATGGTGTCTAGCACAGTACAGATGGATATAAATCCTGGTAAAATTGAATTGACTCTTCCTAAAAAGTGAGTCTGTTTTCTAGTAAGTCTGATAATGGTGTTGCAGGTGTCCCAGACAGGGTAAGATGGCAGAAACAAAGATGTTGTGGAAACTTTCTGTTTCTGTTAAGGCTGCTCCTATTCTGTAATAAGAAGGCTTAAACATTAGAGAAGGTCTCAGCCCAACCCAGCTTAAATCCTGTGGTACCAGAAGTGGATACTACAGTTACCTAGTAGGCCTCAAACAGAGCTAAAACCATTTTTTGAGTAAGAGAATTTTAGAGGGCCCGGTTCTCAAAATCCAAATTATATACTTTTGAGAGAACAAATTAACAGAAACTGCACAGAGCCCAACTCTTAAGATAAGGAAGTAGATCTTAAGTCACTCAAGAAAGAAACTCTTCTATAGATGAAGGCTGAGAAAAGGAAATTTGAAACCAACTGATTCTGGTTTGGGGAATGGGAACACTGGAAAATATACCCTATCATCCATTTCTCATGATGCTATCATTGGTGCTTGAATGCCTCTGTTGTTGACATGGCCACCATCCCTGCTCATAGGGCAGTAGAGGGAAGAGATGTTGAGTGTCTTCATTACTAATTGTTTGGTTAGTGCCTCTCTTAGAAGATAAACTTGACTGGTGATAGGGTGGGCAAGAAGTGAGTCAAACAAGAGCTACCTACTGGGTACAGTCAGTGGATGGGGAAAGAGAACTCTCTTTAGACTGGTCCACCCAAAATAAGTGAGTGAGGGGTAGGTAATAACATGGCTGGATTGTCTCCAGGGTACTCCTAGGAACATCACATACTTATCAGCTCACAGATGAATTCCAAATCCCAGGATGCCTGCTTGGATAAGGATAAGATGCTCTCTCAGGACAGAAGCCCACAAAGCTAAGGGACTGGGTCTCTAAGTCAGAATTTCATCAATGGCTGAGTGAGTCTTTCTCTGGAAAGCCAGCCCATCTCCAGTAGTCCTGCTGCCCAAGAATGATATGCCCCTCCCTTCTAAGGAGATGGGAATAAGCTCCCTGGACACTCTATCTGTATTCCCTCTAACTCATTCTCTAAAAACTTCAAGAAGCAAATCCTTGATAAGAAGGATGCCTTCTGCAGGCCAGAAAGCTTAGCTGAAGTGGGGATTTTTATATAAGTCTATCTTTTCTGTACTCCAAGTATACTCAGAGAAGATGCTATAAATAACCCTTATTGAATTGGAAGTGTGAAGTAGGCACACTACAAAACACTGTGCCTTCCATGGCTCAAGAGCACAGGATTCAAAAGTCAGACATTTGTGCAGAAAATATAACTAGATATAGGTCTCAGCCCCTTAGTGTAGACATCTGACACTGCACAGATGTGCATACAAATACATGATCCCCTTTCTAAAGGAGAGAAACCAAGGGAAGCAGGGGAGCCCAACACTACAGAACAACGCCAACATTCTGTTTTCGCACTTTACTATGTAGGAATAGTTACAGATTAATTTAAACAATCAGATTGCCCTATGTTTTTGCTCTCTAGGTCTTGCACCACCCTTTAACAGAAAGCAATAAAATTCTCACCGGACCTTCAGTGGGCTGGGGATTCCTGCCTGTACTGCCCAGTTTCCTTTCACTCACATTCCCAAACCAGAATCTACAATTAAACTATAACTCCATATATTTAAAATCCACTCTACTCACCCCCAATGTAGTGGCCCGTGAGTCCTGGGCCCTTGAATTCAATCCCTAAGGGTGGGCCTTTCAGATGGAACCCACCCACCTCTGCTATTAACATAGCCCCTCCTCTATTGCCTCACCAACCAACTATTTTTGAATCAAAAAGTCTTTGTCTATTTAGACACTATAAAAGTAACATTTATGTTTTTTAATCTCATGTCTGTGTCTTCAATGGTTTTCATTGCTTATCTAATCAGTGTGTCCTAGGTAGATTTGTTACTTGCCTGTTCAGCTTGTCCAAGCACAACAAAACCAAGGCATTTCCCAGAAGAGAGTCAGATCCTTTTGAATAGAAAATCCTCAGAAAAGATGTTAGAACTTTCACGTTTTTTTCTCCATGGTCCTGACATCAAGAACATTCTATATCCCACTTATAACCCCAACTCTGCAAATCCCAAATCTTGACTTCAGAGGATGCGGACAAGGAAAACAAGAAGGCATTTGAACATGCCACATTCTGTAAGAAAAATGTTGTATGCTTTGTGGGTTTTCTAGGTTTTATACTGATTTGGGGGCTTCTTTTTTAAAAAAATCAATTCTTTTTTTCTGTAAGTAGGAAAGATATAAGAGAGAAATAAGTAGGGAATAGAAAGTGGGAAGGGAAGTAGGAAGGAAGAAGAGAAAGTCAGTGAGTGGACATGAGGGAAAATGACAGAAGGTCAAGTAGAGAGGATAGAGACACAGTGTTGGGGACAGGGAGAGGACATGCCAGGAAGTCACAGCCTCTCCAGGGACCAGGTGCTGTGCTTGAACATACACACATGTTCCCCTGTGGAGGTTTCTCCACAGTCCTGCAAGGAGAACATCCTCATCCCTAACCTTATGGATTTGGAAACATGCTCAGAAAATAATACTTGCCTATGGACTCATAGACAGGAGGAAAAGCAGAGGTTGGAAGCCCCAATAAAAAATGAACTCTGCCCCTCTTCTTCTACAGTCCCTTTTGTGGCCTGAGTGTCTTCAGTCTTTATATTTCATGGGTTGCCTTCTCTTTCATATAGGAAATTTACCTTCCAATTTAAAGACCTCTTTATTCCTACATCACATGGTTTTCACTTCTATGGTCAACAACAGGCACATAGAAAGGTACATTTTGGAAGCCAAGGCTGAGCCAACACATAAACCCTACATCCT